GTCGATTGCAGGATGGAAAAGCCGATGATGCTGCTGTCGCTGGACGCACAGGGCAGGGCGAGGCAAGTGTGTCGCCCCCGCTTCCCGCGTGAGTATCTTCACGCTCGCCCATCGTTCAACCGCACTCCCTTCGCCCCCTCTGTGCGGGAGCCGATTGGCTCAAGATTATTGCAAGGCCCTGGGATGAATGTTGCGTTGTGGCTTGGCTCTCCAGCACACGACCGGCTAGTGCCGCACTCGTGACGAATTGGCACGTTCTGCGTACGTGACAACCCTTACCGGTTGGCCGTGTCGGGCGGTGGCGGGTTGAACGACACAACGTTTATATTTTTACGCGTCGTGAGTAACGTCGTGAGCAACCCGGACTGGTCTGGGTGCGAGCAACCAATCAAATCTCCCCCTCCGTCTCCGCGTCCCGGCCGACGGCGCCAGTGTCCGGGGACGGAGCGCCGGCCGGGAGCGCCGGCAGGGCAGGGGCTGCCCCCCCGCCGCTCTCCTCCGTCTACATGTGGGGCAGCGGGACGCTGGCGCCCGTCAAGCTGGCCATGCCCAACACGGAGGTGCTGCAGGTGGCGGTGGGGCGCACGCAGAGGGCCGGCGTCATGCGCAGCGGCAGGCTCATCGTCTGGGAGGTGAGCACAACGTGGAACTCACCGAAGACTTAAGCTTGCTTGAATTGTCCAGAGCACCTCCGTGTGCCTCGCCATCGCATCGTCGTCGTCATCGTCGTCATCAAGGTGCTCTGCTGCAGTTGCTCCCCGTGGTTGGGGGGCTGGGGGCCCCGGTGGCAGCTGTCTTTGTGCAGAATGAGGTGTCGCAATCACAATATTTATTCACGCCCGCGCGGGACGACCCGGAAACGCGGGGTCACACAGCTTCACACCATCTTTTTTATGATGATGGCGATGATGATGATGATTGTGGTGATGGTGATGATGGTGATGATTGTGATGATGATGATGGTGATGATTGTGATGATGGTGATGATGATAGTGATGATTGTGATGATGGTGACGATGGTGATGATTTTGGTGATTGTAACGATGCCGAAGATGGTGATGATTTTGATGATGGTGATGATTGTGATGATGGCGATGACCCCGATGACGATAACAGTGATAAGGCTGATGACGACAACGATGATCATGAGCCGAGTCTCTCCACCCTAAGAGTGGATCGCTGTGAGCACCGTGTCACTCAGCTCTTCCATCCTCCCCACTGTCTGCTACCTGCTGCACCCTGCCCGCTGCACCCTGCCCGCTGCACCCTGCCCACTCCCCATTCCCCGCTGCCCACTCCCCGCTGCCCCGCGGTCTGCGTGCGTGCAGGCCTCTCCGGGCACGGTGGGCGACGCTGCCCTCCCCGGCTCGGTTGGCAGCGTCCAGCCCCAGCTCGTGTCGCGCTTCCTGGAGGGCCAGTCCGGGGTCACCATTCAGCACGTCTCCTGCGGCGACCTCTTCACCGCATGCCTCACCGGTCCGCGTGTGTGTTCATGTGTGTCTTCATGTGTGTCTTCATGTGTGTCTTCATGTGTGTCTTCGTGTGTGTCTTCATGTGTGTCTTCATGTGTGTCATTATGTGTGTCCCCATGTGTATCCATGTGTGTGTCCCTGTGTGTACGTGTGTGTCCCCGTGTGTTCATGTGTGTTCATGTGTGTTCGTGTGTGTTCGTGTGTGTGTTCGTGTGTGTGTCCCTGTGTGTCCCTGTGTGTGCGCTCGTGTGTGTTCGTTTGTGTGCTCGTGTGTGTCGTGTGTGTTCGCGTGTGTCAGTGTGTGTCCGTGTGTGTCAATGTGTGCGTGGGGAGCGGTAGCGTAGTGGTTAGCGCTACACTGCACTACGGACCCGGCGACCCGAGTTCGATTCCTGCTCACGGCCACCACCAGTGACGATTATCTGAACTGGTCCTAGGCCTCCCCTAGGTCGACTTAGCCTCAAATGAGTACCTGGTGCGGTGTGTAGTAAACATCGCCACTGGGGAGACAAAGGTGGCCGGCCGTGGTGCTGGCCACCCACCCCCTCGTGTGCCACAGTGCCGGCCTTCATAGGCAGTGATGCTGGTTGTTGTTGTTGTTGTCGTCGTTGTTGTTGTCTCGTGCCCTTGCGAGCTTTTGCATCTTGTCACCGTGCGAACCCGGGCCTTCTGTGTCGTTGTTTCCAGACAGGGGGATCCTCATGACCTACGGCAGCGGCAGCAGCGGCTGCCTTGGCCACGGCAGCTACAGCGACGTCGCACAGGTACCGTGGGGCATCGTGGGATGATGATGATGATGACGATGGGATAATGGGTTGAGAGAAATGGGATGGGATGATGGGATTTGTTATGGCAATGGGATGAGATCGGAAGGATGACGTCAGTGGACGAGATGATGGGATGACAATGAGTGGCTAGTCCAGGACGCCCGGTGTGTTGGAGAGTAAACCCACTACAACATTTACAATTCGAGTACCGTGACGTTTCGCTGATAATTACCACCAGCATCATCGGGCTGTGTCACCATGCTTGGTTGACGTGACAAACCTTACTCATTGGCCGTGGCGGGTGGTGGCGGGTGGTGGCGGGTGTAACGACACCACGTTCATATTTACGCGACCTAACCCAAAAAATAAACCTCTGTTACGGTGTTTTTGTGCACTCTTATGGGACCACTCCTATTGGGTCCGGCCCATGACAAGTGCGTGCCGACGGCACGGAGTTCGCCCACCTGGAATAACAGCGCCGTTTTACGTCTGTTGCAAGAACTGGCTCAGGCTCGGGGATGGATCCTGAACATTTGCCGGGAACCAGTTCCTGGTCTTTGGGCCGACGTTTGGCGGATCGCCCAAATGTTGTGAACTCCCTTCCCGTGGGTGTCAAGGTGTCGAGAACCGTGGCTCGTCAGAAGGCGGCTCAGCAAATGTGGGCTCCACCTCTTCCGTCTGTGCACGTGTGCGTTGGACTTCTTTCACACCGTACTTACCCCACCGTGGCTAATTGGAGGTGCGGGGGAAAGGCAACAAACTAAACACAAAAAAGCATTTCTAAAGAAATTAGTTTGTTGATCTAGATGATGATGATTTAAAAGCGCGTAGTGCCCAGTGCGCTTACTAATGTCGGAAGGAAGAGCGTTCCAGACGTCCGCAGAAGAAGCGCGTCTGAAAGCGCCGCGCGCGATGCGACGACCACCGACGTCTTTGTTCCATGGCCAGCCAGAAGCCACCGCCGCCGCCTCTGCGAGGATGAGCGGAGTTGGCGTGCTGATGGTGGTTTATGCTCCTTGACGAGATCGGTGAGGTGTTGTGGTTAATTTGTGGCGAGCGCTTGGTGTGTAATGGGTGCCAACTTACAACGACGCTTTCGTTCGGCAACCGGAAGCCAATGGAGCTGAGCGAGCGCTGTGCGGACGCGTGTGATCGTGTTGCCCCCCTCGCTCCCACGTGTATAATGAACACTCGCTCATTGACCAGTGACACCTTCATATGTAGGGGATGGCAGAGCTCTGGTGTGAGGGGGGGGGACTTGACACCGGCTCCACACCGCATGGCTGTGGTTCCTCCTCCCGGCGCCTCTCAACGAGAGGGGGGGGGGGGGGTGGGCAGCGGTAGTGAGGGCTCCGATGAGGAGGTAGAAGGATTATGAGGAGATAGAGGAGGAGGAGGCGTTGAGCACCCCCTCGTCGTCCAAGTCCGACGACGATGACTGACGAGGAGACTGGAGCCAACTTCGTCATCGCCATCGCCGCTCCATCGCCGCGTCATCGCCGCCGTAGCGTACATCAGCGCTCGCATCACTACGTCACGGTGCGATAGAAGCTCTGCACACACACACACGTGACGTGGGGTGCGAGCGAATGCTCTTGGTATTACTCTTTGTGTCGTTGGCAGCCCAAGATTGTGGAAGCGCTGCTGGGCTACGAGATTACCCAGATGTCCTGCGGGATGTCGCACGTCCTGGCGGTGAGCAATGAGCAAGAGGTGTTTGCCTGGGGCAGAGGAGACAACGGTAAGACTTCCAACCTCCCACGATAACTGAACTCGTAAACTGGTTTTCTTTCAGTTTTACCAGGTAAGGCCCCCCCACTGAGCTATGTAGCTGTTTTTTCAGAAGCTAACCTTGCTATCACAACTTCATCATCGCCACAAATGTGATAGCTCAACAAAGTGGATTATCATTATGACGCGGCAATGTATATCAGCCCAAATACTCAATAACCCCCACTATTACCACCACCCCTCTCGGCGTTGGCGAGGCGCTCATCCAGCAGTGGAACGACAAATGGGGGTCTCGTTTTTTTTCCCGGCTTTTATTATTCGCTCGTCTCACTTCCTGCGTCGTCCACCGATGGCATCATCGCTCTTCAACTTTGAACAATTTTGTTATTTAGCGAACGCTATTTCACGCGACTTCCCACAGCCAAAACACCGCATGCATTAACGACGTAGATATAGCCAAGTAAAGATGTTGTTCCTCGGGTGGATGTCAGCCCCCGCATTGCCACAGAGCCGCTTTGCATCCCCTCCTCCGGCACGTGCACGGCGACCAGTCCGCCCGGCACGCCGCGCCGCACAGCTCCCCACTCTTCAACGGAACCACGGGGGCCGAGGCCTATACGTTGAGTTTTCTCGTGCGCACGGTGGGCGCGTGCAATTCCTCGTCGGTGCCGCCCTCCGCACGCGTTGCCGTCGTCCGTTACGCGTGGCACCTTCCCACGGGGGCAGGGACGGCTCGTGCGCGCCCCCGTCGCCTGATTACCCCGCCCTCTACCCACAATACCTCTTGTGTTTGTTTTTGTCACTTGCTCTGCACCCCGACGGGTGCCACTGATGGGAAGGAATGGAGGCGATCGCTGCTCACTTTTGGCAGAAAAATTGCCACAATGTCATGAACTCCCTTTGCTTTGAAGCCAATCTGAGGCAGCTCTGTAGTGTCCGCTTCCGTGGGCCGTTCCCTCCGCGCACGACGGATTGCGTTGCCGCACGAGACATGCGAAGAAGCGATTCTTTGTTACGTTCCGCAATGCTGCCGGCGTCAAAGTAGGGTGCCACGGTGGCTAGGAGATGTTAATTCCCCCACCTGGTATGCAGGAGGTCATGGGTTCGATCCCGACCCTGACGCCTGCTGCTGCTGTATATTTGGATTTTGCGTCTCTCTCTCTCTGCCCGTGGTCGTGTTGATTTTTCTCCGGGTCCTCCGGATTTTCGCTCCCCATTTATAATCAACATCGCCACGCATTTCAAAGTATTTGGCTGCTGCTATAAATGTCCACATGACGACAAGCCACATCGTTGAGCTATCATTTGTGATAGGCCAGGTTACTTCTGCCAAAGACGCTATATAGTTCAGTGGGCCTGGTACAATAAAAAAGTCAGTTGTAGTTCAATATGAATGCTTATTTATAATAAACAAACCCACACATGTCACGAAACTTTCCGTAACGACACCGGCACACGGACTCAGCCCCGTGTGCATCTCTCGGCGTCTTCGTGCGTCTCTCCGTGCGTCTCTCTGTCTCTTTGTCTCTCTGTCTCTCCGTGCATCTCTCTGTCTCTCCGTGCGTCTCTCTGTCTCTCTGTGAGTCTCTCTGTCTCTCCGTCTCTCTGTGCGCCTCTCTGTCAGTGTGTCTCTGTGCATCTCTCTGTCTCTCTGTGCGTCTCTCTGTCTCTCTGTGTCTCTCTGTGAGTCTCTCTGTCTCTCTGTGAGTCTCTCTGTCTCTCCGGCTCTCTGTCTCTCTGTGCGTCTCTCTGTCTGTGTGTCTCTGTGCATCTCTCTGTCTCTCTGTGCGTCTCTCTGTCTCTCTGTGTGTCTCTCTGTCTCTCTGTGCATCTCTCTGTCTCTCTGTGTGTCTCTCTGTCTCTCTGTGCGTCTCTCTGTCTGTGTGTCTCTGTGTGTCTCTCTGTCTGTGTGTCTCTCTGTCTCTCTGTGTCTCTCTGTCTCTCTGTGCGTCTCTCTGTGTCTCTCTGTCTCTGTGTCTCTTTGTCTCTCTGTGTGTCTCTCTGTCTCTCTGTGTCTGTCTGTCTCTCTGTGCATCTCTCTGTCCCTCCGTGCGCATCTTTCCATGCGTCTGCGCGTGTCTCTCCAATCCCCCAGGGCGCCTCGGGTTGGGCAATCAGGAGCTCCACCTGTGCCCGCAGCCGGTGGCCGTCCCTCCGCCCTACGAGCCGTGCACCGCGCACTGCGGCATCGACTGCTCCATGACGTCACCTCCAGCGGCAGGCTCCTGGCCTGCGGCAGCAACCGGTACGAGCTGGGTTCAAAGTCTCATTTCTCTACCACTGCTCCTCTGTGGTTTGTTTATCGTCCTTCCCCCGCACCTCCGATTAGCGCGATTGGCTACGTACGGTGCGAAAGAAGTTCAACGGGCGAAACTAAAACTATTAAACCAAACAATTTGTTTTATTTTACCAGGTAAGGCCCACTGAGCGATGTAGCTCTTTGTCAGAAGTGACCTGGCCACAATTGATAGCGCAACAAAATGGCTTAATACGATGTGGAAATGTACGGAGCCAAATACTCTAAACGCGTTTTTCTAAATGTGGAGGGAAAAACCGCAGGAACCGGAGAAAAATCCACGCGACCGCGGGGAGAGAAAGACGCGCAAATATACAGCAGCAGCAGGTGTCAGGAATCGAACCCACGGCTCCTGCATGCCAGGCGAGGTAGTTAACATCTCCTAGCCACCGCCTACATACAAAGACAAATGATCTCCCCCCCTTCCCGTCACGTGTAGCCTTAACAGACTTGGGGCAAGAGCTGTTAGCGAGCACCTATGAAGGCCGGCACTGTAGCACACGAGGGGGTGGGTGGCCAGCACCACGCCCGGCCGCCTTTGTCTCCCCAGTGGCGATGGTTTACACACCGCACCAGGTACTCATTTGAGGCCGATTTGACAACTGCACCGGGACGTATGCCCCCCTGGCCCCCCCCCCCGCCCCCTCTACGTCTGCCCGACGCGAACCGCAGGTACAACAAACTGGGCCTGGATAAGATCTCGCACGACGGCGACGACGCCGCGTGCCCCGCGGAGCAGACGGAGGAGTCGCTGGTGCTCTCGCCGGTGCAGTCCAGCCCGCTGGATGGTGCCCGGGTGGTCCACGTGGCGCTGGGCACCGCTCACTCCGTCGCCGTCACAGGTGGGGCGCGAGTTGTGTTCAGATGCTTGAACGGCAAATATAAACCTTTTGCAAGGAATCAAGTTCCCGCATTAATCACACACGGTACTTGTTGTGAACGTGCAAACAAAAACACGCGCCGATAATTATACGTGGCGTTGTCTTTGAAACTGATTTGGCCGACACCAGAGACGGCCTTCGTTAGGGCATAGTCTCACCAGTGTCAGACGGGGGAACGACGCCAAAAGGCGAACATGATGTATGTCGACATTTTTTCGCACTGTACGTAGCCAACCGTGCTGATCAGATACTTAAATCTCCGTCTGCCTTGTCTTCGTCGCTCTCCTTCACCTCCGTCGTGTGCATCGTCCTCAAAATACCGAGCTGAGCAATTCTGCACGTAGCGCTCGTGCCATTGTGACGGACTCGGTCGTCAGTCGTGACGCGGTCAGTCGTGGCACGTTTGTAATCCACCAGGACGCACTCTCTCTGGTGTGTCCGTCTGTCCCGTCTCTCTTTGCCTCGTGTGTAGGGCGTCTCACTCCGCCTCCATCTCCCCCGTCTGTCTCGTCCTGTCCCTGCACCCCCCCGTCTTCCTCTCTTCGGTCACCGGCCCTGGCAAATTCTTTGCCGATCTCGCCGCGTCTCGTCGTGCAGACACGGGCACGTGCTACACGTTTGGAAGCAACCAGCACGGGCAGCTTGGCGGGGGAGCTCGCACGAGCAGCCGGGCGCCGCAGCCGGTGGACGGGCTCGGCGGGGTGAAGGTGGTGCAGGTCACGTGCGGCGACGCCTTCACCGTGGCCGTCGCCGAAGGTGACGACGACGGTGCCGCTGCTGCCGCCGCCGTGTGCACGTGTGAACGTGCGCGTGTGAACGTGCGTGTGTGTGAACGCGCACGTGAACGTGCGCGTGTGAACGTGCGTGTGTGAACGTGCGTGTGTGGGGAGCAGTAGTGTAGCAGTAGTGTAGTGAGTGCGCTGCATTACGAACCCAGAGACACAAGTTCATTTTCCGCTCACGGCCACCAACACCGGTGACAATTATCTCAACCGGTCCTGGGCCTCTCCTAGGTTGCCATGAGGTGGTGCTGGCCACCCACCACCTCGTCTGTCGTGCCGGCCTAATATGGGGGATCTCTGTTATCTTTGTGTGTGTCTGTGCACTCCCCGCCTTCACCAACACGCACTGACCAGTGCGAAATAACCCTCACGGTGTGGGGGAGGCTCTCATCCAGCAGTTGAATGGTGAAAGGTCTGTAACCATGACCACCTTATGCTAGGGAGATGGGGGCCTCTTTGCTCAGAGCACTTGGCTCAGACGCCCCATCATCAATATTGTCACTCCCGTGGTGATAAATTAAGTAACACTTTGTGTGGAGTCAGAGGTTGTTGTTTTTTGCACAGACTGGGCCCACCGCTGTAGGAATGGGGAATTTCCACCACCGGCAATGGAGATGAGCACTCAAGCAATGCTCCCTTGTCTCGCTGAAACATCCCCCGCTCGTGCGTGCGTGCGTCTCTCCGGTTTAGTTTCACGCAAGCCGCGCCAACGCGCGTTCACGCATGATGACTCGCGTTTGTGTCTTAAAAACCACGAGTTAACTTCGTTGCACAATGATAACCTGTGCAGATCCGTGCTCACGCGCGTGCGTGATTCTCTCGTGTGCTCGTGCCAGGAGGGCAAGTGTTCACGTGGGGGAAGGCCGCGCGGGGGAGGCTGGGCCGGACCGACGGCGAGGCCTGCGTCCCTGGGCCCGTGCAGCTCCAAGAGACGTTCCCCTACGCGGTCACCTCCGTGTCCAGCCGGCACGGTAACACGCTGCTCTCCGTGCACTGCGCCTCACAGTGCCGATGACAACGCCGCCGCTGCCGGCACGGCGTCGGCGTGACCGACGTTCCTGCGTCAACGCCCAAATTCCTCGCGGCGGCGGCGCCGGTGGCTTGCCCAAGCCCCACTCACAATGTTGAACATTGTGATGCCTCTGGAGCGACCATCCACCCATTGTTGATGTTACTGGGTGATTTTACTAATTTTGACCTTTGTTTTTAACTGCCAAACTGCTTGCCTCAATGTCACTAACATTACCAAGTTTGGTTATACCGAGAACTCCTCCTGGAAGGCCTCCCCATTGATGTTTGAGGGTTGTTTGACCATACCTCCCCACACTGGTCAATGTGGGTTAGTGAAGCGTGGGGCAGGACCACGTGGTGAGATATCCCTCGCCACGGATATCAGCCTGCGGCCAGGAATCGAACTCCGCTCACCGAACTCAGCGTGCCGACCGCTGCACCGCCGCTCCTCCCCAGGTTGGGCTAGGATGATCAAATGTGTGCTGGGATATATGTCGCGGGATGTGATACAAAATCACGAACAGTTCACTGTGCCACTGAACAAAACGTTCCGATTTTTTATTGTCAATACATTTGTATTTATATTTACGTGCGTGGAGCATTACTTACATACTCCACGGGTGGCACATTGGTTTACCCCTCCCCCCCACACAGCCCCCCCCTCCTACTGCTTCCCCACACAGCCCCCCCCTCCTGCTCCCCCACACAGCCCCCCCTCCTCCTACTCCCCATAGCCCCCCACATTTCTCCCCACGGGAACAGATGCCCCAAATTGAATCGTTTTTTCTCATGTCGCGCGAATCCCCCTTCTTGACGTCGTCACTGCGCCTTCTGGTGGCACTGGTGCCACTGTGCCCGCCACTCGTCGGCCTGCAGGAGGCTTGCCGAGATGGCCCAGCCGGCGCTCCGCAGCCCGGCGAGCACCTCCGGGAAGAGGCGCGTCGCGAAATCTTGAGACGCCGACACGCAGGGGTCGCCGGCGGTTATTTCTGCGCAAACGAAACGAGAGCCAAAGTAAACATCGAGATTCTTAAGGTTGAAATTTAGCAGCCGCCCGATGGGTTAGGTAAAAAAAACTGGTTGCCAATTTTTTCACGCATCGTCATCATCATCAAGAACCATGGGGCAGATAGCCCCGCGGGTGTCCACTGCACGTTTCGTCATTTGTTCCCATTTTCCTCTCTGTCATGTAGTGCTAGTATGGTCAAGCAGGGCCACACCTATCTGGCACCAATCTCTTATTTTGTGGTCATGAGATTCGCTCTGTTAGGTCTTCCTCTCTTTCCGGTTCCTTCCATTCTTCCCGAACAACACCATTTTTTATTACTTCTCTTTTTGCCATACCTCTCGGGTTCATTGCTATTTACCCAGAGAATCCCTCTCACCGAGCGAGTCTTCGGAATTTCGGGACTTACTGCCAAGTATGGAAATTTAAATGGAAAAAAATTTAATTGGCAACCTTCTGATTGCGAGCGGCACGATGGAGCTCGGAGACAACGCCACTGACACGAGGCCCCAAGGAGCCTGCGTCTCTCCCCGCGGTCACTGCGTGGATTTATCTCCGGGTCCCTCCGGTTTTCCCCTCCACATTTAGAATCAACGTCACCACGCATTTAGAGTAGTTGGCTGCGAGAAATCTCCACATGATGATCATGATGATAAGCCCACATATCATTTGTGGCCAGGTCACTTGTGAAAAAACAGCTAGACAGCTCAGTGGGGCCTTGCCTGGAATAAAGTGCCCCCACTGTCACGTGCTATGCAGAAGGGCCGCTACGACTCGCCTCTCTGCAGCTGCAGGAAGCCGTCCCGGTGCTCCGCGGCCACCTCCACGGTGGCCCCACGCGGCAGAGCGAGGCTCAACAGCTGTGCGTGGAAGCAGGCCCCGACGATGTCGCTCGCGCCGGACGAGTAGTGCAGGACGATCGAGACCGCTCCTGTACGAAGCCCGCCCGAGAATCAGAGGCAGCCTCCACCCGTCTTGGCGAAGGTCGGGGCAAGGTGGCGTCTGTCGAGCGGCACCCGCCAAAGTCATCGACGAGGACGCGTGCGGCGGGAGGCCGCCCTGCCACGGGCCCCTGTTCTGGGTTAAGGGCTCCAGGTCGAAACTCGCGAGGACCGTTTCCACCACGCCGCTCAGCGCGGGCTCACGAAGGTGCGGTGGTGGGTGGGGTGTTCAGGTGTTGTACCGCGCGTACGTTGGAACTTCCTTCACACCGCATGTAGCCGACCGTGCTAATCGGAGGTGCGGGGGCAAGGACGACAAACTGAACACTGCAACACTCTAACAAGGTCAACGCTAATTAAAATTGCGAAGCGGTGAGAACGTTGACACGTGCTCCGTTCCTGGACACCGCTGAATCGACGGTCGGCACGGAGAACCGAGGTCTCCCTGGGCCGCCCCGTCCCGTGGTCTCCGGTGCAGTTACACCGCCTGCACACTCGACAGCCAAGCCACTGAGTTGCCTGTGGCACGGTCTGGCACGCAGCCGAACAAAGTCCCGGTCCCATGCAAGCTGCCGCACTCACCGCGCGCTTTGTTTAGTCGGAGGAGGTACTTCCTGTTGCTTGCATCCTTCGGTAGTTCACTTGCCCTGCAACGCAACAAACGTAGTTCATTAGCCCTGCAACGCAACAAACGTAGTTCATTAGCCCTGCAACGCAACAAACGTAGTTCATTAGCCCTGCAACGCAACAAACGTAGTTCACTTGCCCTGCAATGCAACAAAAGTAGTTCATTAGCCCTGCAACGCCACAAAGGCCACACTGGCAAAGCGGACCGAACATGGAAACGGTCTCCAGCCAAGCGGAAACTGGGCTTTGTAAATGTTGGAAAGGGCCACGGTCAAGTCAAGTGTGGGAGCACACGCCCGGACGGCAGCATCCACTCTGGGTCGCTCAACCCCCAGGGGTCCCTTCCGGCAAAGCCCCCATAGCAAGCCCCCTTCCCCAGGGGTCCCTTCTGGCAAAGCCCCTCAAGCAAGCCCCCTTCCCCAGGGGTCCCTTCTGGCAAAGCCCCTCAAGCAAGCCCCCTTCCCCAGGGGTCCCTTCCGGCAAAGCTCCTCAAGCAAGCCCCCTTCCTATCCCCGAGTCTCGATCTGATGCAGCCTCGCGAGACCATGAGGCCATCCTCCTCGGCCTCTCCTCCAGCCCACGAGTTTCTCGAGCGCAGAGAATCCGGTGGGCAAGGGGTCAACGCGAAGGGGCAACTTCAACGCGAAGGGGCAGCGTCAATACGGAGGGGCAGCTTCAACACGGGGGGCAGCTTCAACACGGGGGGCAGCTTCAACACGGGGGGCAGCTTCAACACGGGGGGCAGCTTCAACACGGGGGGCAGCTTCAACACGGGGGGTAGCTTCAACACGGAGGGGCAGCGTCAACACGGGGGGCAGCTTCAACACGGGGGGCAGCGTCAACTGGGAGGGGCAAGCGAGGAGCCACGTGCTCAAGGTGTGGAGAAGCCTCACGTGGTGATGACGTCGCGAAGGGAACGCCAACGTTGACCGTGAGGGATTTGCCGAAGGCTGTGGGAATCACAAAGCAGGTGGTTGCCGTCCGAGCGTCTCGCGTGTGGCATCTCTCAAACATTCCATTTTGTCTCTTTCACCGTTTTATTGCACTTACGCTGCCGGTGTCGTGTACGTTTGTATGTGTAGAGGAGTAAAATGGGGACGTGACGTCATGTGTGCCGTCCAGTGCGATGACGTCACGGAACGTGGCATCATGCACGCTGGGGGGCTCGATGACGTCATGTCTCGTCTAGTATTTAAGGGGGACCCCGTGACGAAAGCGGGGTCACTGCAGGAACGGGTAGAGTGAGAAGGGTGGAGAGGGAACCAGGGGTAGAGAGGGATCGACGAGAGTCAGGAGTGAAGCCGCTGGTAGCCGTAGGAGGTGCTGCTCTTCCCGGTCGGTGGGGTTGGCTAGTGCCCCCATCCGACTCGAGGGAGAGAGACCGGAGCTAGCCGGGCTGGACCAGGACTTAGTGTAGGACCCCTAACCCCTGGGAAGTTGTCCCACCCTTTGTGCTATTGTAATACACTTAATAAACCTTTGGCGAAAGCCCTTACCTTCAAGCCGTCTCCGAGTCGTCGTCGGGAACTCCTCAACACATGTATTACATTACGTGACTTCCGCACAGCTGTGATCGACGTAGCACTCAGAAATCTCTCCGGATTCGGTGTGCAGTGAAAGCGGTGGCCACCCTCTCCACACACCTGTTCACGCTCACACCTGTTCACACAGACAGCCGCTCACCTGTCCTCCTCTGCCTGCCAGGTATAAGGACCGGTCGCTGTGTTCCTTACAGCCCGGGCATACGCACCTGTGAGATCTCAGCCTGGTGCCCTGTGGAGAAGGCCACGGCCCCACGGTGAGGGGCACCTCACACACACACACACCTGCGTGAACACCTGTATGAGCACCTGTATGGAGAGCTGCATGAACACCTTTACACACAGCAAGGATCCCCCGTTAGTAGCGAGTCGCAGCACCTGTGAAGGCCGCCGGCACGACACACGAGCGGGGTGGTGGGCAGTAACCACGCCCGGTTTGTCTCTCTCCCCGGGTTGGTGATGTTTACACTCCGCACCGGGTATACATTTAAGGCTGAGTAGACCTAGGGGAAGGCCCAGGATGGGTTGAGACGCCCGTCACCTGGCGTTGGCTGCGAGAGAGAACTGAACTCGGGGGGGGGGGGTTTGGTGGTTCGGAGCGCGGCGAGAAAGCCGCCACACAAAATAACCACGTGGCTCGGCAGAGGGGTCAGGCAGGAAGCTTCGCTGCTGCCAGCGGGATTACAGAGAGGAGCCCTCGTGGGTTTTCACTGCCGTTCGCTTCGGGGACACAGTGAGGCGTAAGCGTAGATTGAGGAAAGTATTTAACGGGGTCGGCTGGTTAAACTAAACTTTTTACGTGGTCTAACCCAAAAAAAACGCATTATGGATTAAACTAAATTATCAACAATTTTTTTCAGAAGCGACCTGGCCACCCACAAATGATAGCTCAACGAAGTGTCGTCTCGTGTGGAGGAGATGCGTAGCCCCAGCGAGGAGGTTCTGTGAACTCGTGTGTGGTTACGAGCAAGCGTCGTCCCCGCTCTCTCCGCGTCTGTCCAGGAGGCCGGTGCTCGCCGGGGCTGAGAATTTCACAGTCTTCATCAAGAACACAATCAGGTTCCCCAAGTTTGACTTCAGCAAGTGAGACATTCGACACACGCATATATACACGCACGTATATATGCACAAAGACGAAGCTGCCCCAAATAGCCTTAACAGACTGTAGGGGCAAGTGCTGTTAGTGAGTCGCACCTGTGAAGGCCGGAACGGCACACGAGGGGGTGAGTGGCCAGCACCACGCCCGACCGCCTTTGTCTCTCCAGTGGCGATGTTTACACACCGCACCAGGTATTCACCTGGGGCTGAGTCGTCCTACGTGTGATTGTACGTAAGTCACTGCATTGCACGCTTTCAGATACGCTTCTGCGGCTATCTGGAACGCTCTTCACTCCGATACCAGGAAGGCACTGGAGCGGTGCACTTTTAAATCATCATCGAGATTGACAAACTCATTTATTTAGAACTGATTTGTGTTCAATTTTGATTTAAAGCTTTCGTGACTGCAGTAATTCATATTCTTAGTTCTTTCAGTAAAGTCACGTTGAAGGGAAACAACAAAATAATACTATATATAATTATATTTTTTATATTGCTTTATATATATTTTATTATTTTGTTGCTTCCCTTCAACGTGACTTTACCGAAAGAACTAAGAATATGATTTGTGTTCAGTTTGTTGTCCTTCCCCCGCAACTCCCGATTAGCACAGTTGGCTACGTACAGTGCGAAGGAAGTTTAACACACACACATATACACATACATGCACATATACATACATACATGGTTTTTTTGTTTTTTTCAGTTTATTTATTTTGGTATAGCCCTGTGAGCCATTCGGCTATTGAATCGGGTGCAACCACAACAAAAAAAACCTAAAACACGAACAAGAAAACATCTTAAAGTGACCATGTGACTGTGCAAACAGAAAATCCATGACAAAAACGGCAAAATATTCCTGAAAAAAAGCACCGTACACCAACGCTGTGCAAAAAAATCCCAGTGGGATGCAAGTCAAACAACAACAACAGCCACAATAAAACTTAGATTAAGGCCATCAGTCTAACTCCGTACTACAACAAAACAAACATGTCCAACCCAAAAAAACGTTTTCGAAAATCACCAAAAAATAAAGCCATAATTGCAACGTAAGAGTGATCATAGGGACTGTGACCGAATTTTTACAATAAACTACGTAAATAACATGTAACACCAAATCCTAGAGCCATAGCTGGCTGCATGAGTTACTCCACAACAACAGAAGCATCAGTCGGAGTATCAAATTTTGCAATGCACCTTTAAGATCAGCACGCTAAATCAAAATACAGATAATACTTTGCAGCGTCATCCGGAGCGAAACATTTTATTGTATTTTACGCCAATGAATAGCAGTGGCAGCAAGGGGTGTACAACTCCTCTAGAGCAGTTTTGAGAGAAGATCTCATTGGTAGCGATTCAAGTTGCAGTTTTTGTATGCCAATAGGGAATGTGAAGCTGGTAAATGAGCGAAGACCTGAGGTCAAATTTGTTCTTTGAAACAGAGAGGAGATCCAGTAGGTAGTCTGCGGATTTTTTTGTAAGTACATCGTGAATAAATAAGATCTGGTGCACAAGCCGTCGAACATTCCGAGATGTTAAGTTTGACCCAATGTAGAAATCATAGTGGTGAGTCCTATATGGGCAGTTCAATGTAAATCTTAAGGCCGAGTGATAGATGGAATCAAGCTTCTTCAGTACAGTACTTGAGGCTGATTTATACACGATGTCACAGTAGTCAAGTAGAGGCAGTATGGTAGCTTTTATCAATTCCAAACGGAACATTGGGGGGAAGCAGTGCTTGTGTCGATACAGAAAACCAATTTTTATTTTTGTCTTTTTACCAATATAGTCAATGTGATCTTCAAAATTCAGTAGTAGAATGCAAGCGATGGTAAGCGAGCACCTATTAAGGCCTCCATCACACACACACACACCTACATCGCACACACCTACATCACACACACACCTCCATCACACACACCTACATCACACACACACACCTCCATCACACACACCTACATCACACACACCTGTACTGCACATACACACCCACCTGCATTTTGCACACACACACCTCCATCAGACACACACACACCTTTACTGCACACACACACACTGCACACACACCTGTACTGCACGCACACACACCTGTACTGCACGCACACACACCTGTACTGCACGCACACAAACACCTGTACTCCACACGCACACACACACACCTGTACTGCACGCACACACACACACCTGTACTGCACGCACACACACACCTGTACTGCACACACACACACACCTGTACTGCACACACACACACCTGTACTCCACACGCACACACCTGTACTGCACACACACACACCTGTTCTGCACACACACACCTGTACTGCACACACACACACCTGTACTGCACACACACACACCTGTACTACACACACACACACCTGTACTGCACACACACCTGTACTGCACACACACACCTGTACTGCACACACACACACCTGTACTGCACACACACACCTGTACTACACACACACCTGTACTGCACACACACACCTGTACTGCACACACACACACTGCACACACACACACACACCTGTAATGCACACACACACACCTGTACTGCACGCACACACACCTGTACTGCACACACACACCTGTACTGCACGCACACACACCTGTACTGCACGCACACACACCTGTACTGCACACACACACACCTGTACTGCACACACACACCTGTACTGCACACACACACCTGTACTACACACACACACACCTGTACTACACACACACACACCTGTACTGCACACACACACACACCTGTACTGCACACACACACACCTGTACTGCATACACACACCTGTACTGCACACACACACCTGTACTGCACACACACACACACCTGTACTACACACACACACACACCTGTACTGCACACACACACACCTGTACTACACACACACCTGTACTGCACACACACCTGTACTGCACGGCACAGTGGTGCGGTACAGCAACTGCTTCGTCACTGTCACTGCCACCTCCACGTGACTCGAGGGAGTGCCAGAGGAGCCTCTTGTCTGGTGATATATAACAAAGGCAAAGATCCCCCGTGTAGCCTTCACGGACTGTTGCGGGCAAGTGCCGCTAGCGACGGCCGGCACGGCACCCTCGATGAGGCGTGGCCAGCACCACGCCCGGCCGCCTTTGTCTCCCCCAGTGTTAATGGTTACACTCCGCACCAGGCACTCACGGTACACCCTCACCCTGCACTCGTCTCCGTGTGTCCCCGTGACCACCCGTGTCCACCCGTGACCACCCGTGTGTCCGCGTGTCCACCCGTGTCCACCCGTGTGTCCGCGCGTGCCAGGCGTAACGTGCTGGAGCGCGCCGAGGCGGACTACCTGAAGCGCTGCCGCTACAGCGCCACGGCCGCCCCCTACTGCCCGATCTTCCGCCTGGGCCAGCTGGTGCGCGCAGCCGGGGAGGACTTCCACAGCCTCGCCGTGGAGGTGGCGCCCTGCCTGGCAACACGCCGCGGACATGACTCACTACGTGTACACGGCGTGTACACCACGTACACACAGGGTGCATACTCCACCCCCTCCACTCCCAATGAGTGATGGGGCAGTTGTGGAGAGAGTGGAGAGAGTGGAGAGGTTTCTGTACCTGGGCAGTGTGCTTATGACCAGCTCCGGTTTGGCAGTAGATGTCTCACTTCGAATCAGTCCAGCGGCGTTATCTTTTCACTCAGCAGCTACAACACATTCCTGCGGAGGGAGCTGGTAGGAACGTTGGGTTGCTCGGTCAATGGCCAGGGTCAACGGCGGCACCACGTGGTGTATTCCGCAAATATGCCCGACTGTGAGGGCGGGCACAAGCCGGCGTGAGTATGTTAAACGTTGAGTTTTATAAGGGCACCACGGGGTGACCAGCCCCTCCCCACCCAGCCCCACCCCTACCACCACCCACCCACCCAGCCCCACCCTCCCCACCCTCCCCACCCAGCCCCTCCCCACCCTCCCCACCCTCCACTCCCCACTCAGCCCCTCCCTCCCCACCCAGCCCCTCCCCACCCTCCCCTCTCTACCCAGCCCCACACCTCCCATTTTTGGATGCACGACGGACGGACGGACACAATAATCCCCTGTGGGCTGGTGTAACCAGGAGGTTCCTACCAATATAATGCTGCTGTGTGGAAGCTGCCTGGCTTGTTGCTCCACAAGAATCGTTGGATCTTCGTGCCCACAGTGATATCCTTCCTTCTCTATGCTTATGTAGTGATTGTAGAATCACTACTGTGTACACACGCACAAGCGTGACGTCACTATGCGGGGGAGCGTCATGACCACGCGGGTCTACACACACGCATGACGTCATCCCGGCTGGAGCCGGGAATGACGTCAGGGCCGGTTCTGGGCTCCGGGAGGCCACGAGGGTGGTGTGAGGCCGTGGCACTCTCTGTGACCCCGGCTGGACACGTGACTGGACCCCAGTGGGGGCTGGGGGCCTAGGGGGCACCTCGGAGGGCACGTGGACAGCAGGGGGGCTTCGAGAGGGTTTTCGAAGGGAGGCGTGGCCGGGGTGGGGCCCGGGCACGCCGAGGCCCATATAAGCAGCCTCCTCACGAGGTTCGAGGCTGCCCGTATCAAGAACGAAGATGCATCGTGAAGACGCCAAGAAGAGTCAAGCCTCCAGTCAGCAGACCTGGCAGTAGCCCACCTGGCTGGGTCACGCTAGAGTATTTGAGAAGTATGTGTCAGCTAGAGTAGGTTGGTGGTCACCACCTTATGTGCAGTGTTATATTACTTACCGTTCTAATAAATCAGCGTTGCCTCCCAAGGAGTCGTGTGTGCACCTAATTCGAACTCACTACACTTACAAAACATGGAGCCCTGTAAAGAAACATCTTGGCTGGTTTGAAACATTCAGGCAAGCCTGTCCACGATCAATCCTGGGTTTAACCAGGCTGGATTGTGTGATGAGCTCACAGATCCTTTACTGATCTGGACAAAGTCCCATTGGTGAGATCCTCCATTGGCTGGGTCATGTAGCCCACATGCCAAACCACAGCATGCCCAACAGCTTTTGTTCGGCCGGATATAGAGGGCTAAACGAGCGTGGCATGGGCTAGAGAAGAGATGGCATTATGTGGTAACAGAGGATATGGAGCTGAGTGGACTTGAAACTTGAATTTGGAGTGGAGTTGCCAATGACTGGTACCAGTAGTGTCAAGATCGGCCTTTATGGAGACTTGTGAAGGACGCTGCTACTGGGCAGTTGGAGGCAGTCGCCCTCCAACACCACCGGAGGTCGGAGGAGCGACGCTCACAAAAACAAGTGTAACGTCGGGTGGCTAAAACACTGAGTTGGCACAGTGGGGGGAACAGCTGGTGCATCAACCAGTCGTCTCGGTCAGTCAAAACATGGCACCTGCTGGGTCTGTCCCGTGACCTCCCATCAGCGAGCCTTCGACACTTTACGTGGCCGCAAAGTGCACCTGGCCTGGCACAGGCGCCGTGGTGACGTCACCTTCTCTTAGTGGCGTATGGCGGGTATTGGTAATGCTGTGTTAATGCTGTGTGTGTGTAATGCTGTGTGTGTGTAATGCTGTGTGTGTGTAATGCTGTGTGATGCTGTGTGTCTGTGTAATGCTGCGTGTGTGTAATGCTGTGTGTGTGTAATGCCGGCAAAACAACCCCCTACCTCCTCGCGGTGCCGGACGGGCAACTCTGTCGTGGACAGTGCTGTGGGGGGAGTTCCAATTTTGATTGGCTACTCCCCTCATGGCATATGTGTCCACCACAGGGGCTAAACGGGGGCTCTGGACGGGTGCGAGGGGCTGGTAACCCCTCCACCTTCAATTAATTACCACAAAACCACGAATTAAAGTGAAATATGTAACAACTAAGCTTGTGCCGGAGGCCCCGGGGGGCCAGGCGTCTATGACGTCTCCTGGCCAAACCCCAATTGGCGGAGCCAGGAGATTGAATACCTACCCTCGGGGCTACTCCAGAAACAACGAAAAGCCACTACGGGTGGCCACGTGGAATGTTCGAACGCTCACTGCAGAGGAGAGGCTGCCACTCCTCTGTCGGGAGCTGGACCGGTACCGCCTGGATCTATGCGGCATTCAGGAGGTCCGGTGGACCGGCTCTGGCTCCTGCCACCATGAGGGGTGGACAGTCCTCTACTCGGGGCAGCAGACTGCCAAACAACAGGGTGTGGGTCTTCTTTTGAACAAAAGAATGAAGGGGGCGTGGGAGCGTGGCGGTGAGGTGTGGGAAGCTGTAAGCCCCAGGCTACTTTGGGCTCGCCTTCCCATCAACCGGAGGCGAGGAATGGTGGTCGTGGTTACTTATGCCCCCACCGAAGATGAACATCCGTGGAGGGATGCAGGCAAAGCCGATGAGTCAGATGCCTTCTATGACCTCCTTTCACAGGTGCTGGCTAAAGTGGCCCCTCGGGATAGAGTCATCATGTTGGGTGACTTCAATGCCCGAGTTGGTCATGATACTGGCACCTGGTCTGGAGTGATTGGAGGGCATGGGCCAGATCAGCTCAATAACAACGGTAGGAGGCTGCTAGATTTTTGTGCAGCCCATGGGCTTGTAATTACCAACACGCTGTTCCGGCATCGGCGCATCCACACAACATCATGGATGCATGCCGGGTCCAAGCAAGAACATCTGCTGGACTACATAGTGACGGACCAGCGAATGCGAGCCCATGTCCTTGACACCAGGACCTACCGTGGAGCTGATCTGCCCTCTGACCATCGACTAGTCATCTGTAAGATGCGCCTGCCATTCTTCCACTCCGGTGGTGGGTGTACACCCAGGACCCCATTCCAACCTAAAGTGGCCTGGTCTCAGTTATCTGATGAAAGTTGCAAGCGAGAATTTCATCATCGCTTGCAGCTGGGATTGGCATCGTCCCCGACTCCTCCTGATGTCGAGGGTAAATGGGCGAGGTTTAGGACTGTGACTCATGCAGCTGCAATGGCTGCTTTGGGTACGCGGTCCAGACCTCCCCAGACACCCTGGATGACAGAGGAGTTGTTCAGGATGGTTGGGAAAAAGCGACAGGCCCACTGTCATCGGCTACAGAATCCCACGTCAGAGAATGAGGAGGCTTACCGCAGCCTTCGCTCGGAGGTTCGGAGAGCCGTGAGGCGCTGCAAGGATGGGTGGTGGTCGCGGGTTGCTGAGGAGATGGAGTCTGCCTCAGTGGCCCGTGATCACAAATCGCTATTTAACTCCATCAAAAAAGTAACCTGCAGCGCCACACCTATTACCATCATTAGGGGAAAAAACGGTGATCCAATTTCCGACCCCCAGGAACAGGTTCGCAGATTTGCTGAGCATTTCTGTGAGGTCCTGGGGGAGGGAAAATCCCACAGCCAGGAAAACATCGTGGCACAAAGTGAGGATGACCCTGCTGAGGCTGCGGTGCCTCAAATATTGGATGAAGTCACCCCCTGTGAGTGGCTGGCTGAGGTGCCATCTGCTGAGGAAGTATTGAAGGCGATACGGAGTCTGAGACCAGGAAAGGCAGCGGGCAGAGATGATCTCCCAAGCGAAATGCTGAGGGAGGGTGGCGTTTGTGCACAGACTGCCCTATATGACATCATAACAACAGTCTGGACCACTGGACGGGTTCCGCAGGATTGGAAGGATGCCCTGGTGGTCCCCCTTTTTAAGAAGGGGGACCGCACAGACTGTAACAACTACAGGGGCATCTCACTCCTCAGTGTGCCGGGAAAGGTCCTGGCAAGGATTATTCAGCATCGCCTTGCCAGGCACGCTGAGGAGAGGCTTGCGGAGCCCCAATGCGGTTTCAGGAAAGGGCGGTCCTGCACAGATGCCATATTTTCTGTCCGTCTGCTACAGCAGAGGTGTAGGGAATTCCAACAAGACCTACATCTCTGCTTTATTGACCTGGTCAAGGCCTATGATACCATCAGTAGGCCTGGGCTCTGGGTCGTTCTTCGTGCTTTTGGAGTACCTGACCCTCTGCTCACGATCATTAAGGACCTTCATGATGGTGAGCGGGCCCGGGTAAAACTACGTGGCCGGGAGTCAGAGCCATTCCCTGTACACCTTGGGGTGCGACAGGGATGTCCTCTGGCTCCCACATTATTTAACATCTATTTTGACCACGTAGTTCGTGAAGCCTTCAATAGCTGTACCGGGGGAATCTCCATATGGTACATATATAATGGGAGGCTAATCGATGCCCGGGTGCGGTCAAGGGATGGCTCCCTATTGCTCAACCACGTTATGTATGCTGATGACTTGGTAATAGCTGCTCAGTCAGAGGAGGAGTTGGAGACGCTGCTGCTGAGACTGGAGCGTGCCACTAAGAGGTGGGGCCTTACCATCAGCCCCACCAAAACTAAGCACCTGCCTGGGTATTTTGTACCATCGGACACTCCACCCCCACAACTCCCAATCGGTGATGGGGCAGTTGTGGAGAGAGTGGAGAGTTTCCCATACCTGGGCAGTGTGCTTATGACTGGCTCCAGTTTAACAGCAGAGGTCTCACTCCGAATCAGTCGAGCGGCAATATCTTTTCATCGGTTGCGTAACGCTGTGTGGAAGCTACCTGGTCTGTCGCTCCGCACTAAGCTTCAGGTCTTCTCGGCCACGGTCATTCCCTCCCTTCTCTACGCTTGCGAAACGTGGACCCCCCTAATGGAACATCTTCGCCGGTTAGAAACATTTAGGCTGACCTGCCTACGATCCATCCTGGGTTTAACCAGACTGGATTGTGTGAGGAGCTCACAAATCCTTGAAAGATCTGGGCAGGGTCCCATCGGTGAGCTCCTCCGGCAGGCAAGGCTGCGATGGCTGGGTCATGTAGCCCGCATGCCCAGCCACCGCATGCCGAAACAGCTTTTGTTTGGCCGGATTGAGGGGGCTAAGCGGGCGCGGCACGGGCTAGAGAAGAGATGGAGTGATGTGGTACAGGAGGACGTGGAGCTGAGTGGACTTGCCGATGACTGGTACCAGCGGTGTCAAGATCGGCCTCTGTGGAGGAGGCTCGTGAAGGATGCTACTGGGCAGTTGGAGGCAGTCGCCCTCCAACAACAACGGAGGGCGGAGGAGCGACGCTCACAACAGCGAGCGGAGCGCCGGGTGGCTAAAGCACAGCAGGTTGGCACAGTAGGGGGCACAGGTGGTGCATCAGCCAGTCATCTCAGTCAGTCGACCCGTGGCACCTGGGTCTGCCCCGTGACCTCCTGCCAGCGGGCGTTCGACACTTCACGTGGCCTCAGGGTGCACATAGCCTGGCACAAGCGTCGTGGTGACGTCACCGCCACTTAGTGGCGAATGGCGGTTGTTGTGTGTAATGCTGTGTGTGTGTAATGCTGTGTGTGTAATGCTGCGTGTACAGGGTGGCGTTATTGGGGTTCAGATCGAGTGGAGCTGTAACCTGGACCGCCCAGCGAGTGAGTGCCACCCCGTCTACTCCTTCAACCGCCTCGACGCAGCGCGACCCCACCTCAATGCCTCCTCTTCCTCCTCGGGGTACAACTTCAGGTGGGCCCCTTCACTCTCACCATCTTCCTTAACCCCTCACCATAACATTAACCCTCACCGTAACTCTCACCGTAGCATTAACCCTCACAGTAACATTAACCCTCACCGTAACATTAACCCTCACCGTAACTCTCACCGTAGCATTAACCCTCACAGTAACATTAACCCTCACCCTAACATTAACCCTCACCGTAACATTAACCCTCACCGTAACATTAACCCTCACCGTAACATTAACCCTCACCGTAACATTAACTCTCACCGTAACATTAACCCTCACTGTAACATTAACCCTCACCGTAACATTAACCCTCACCGTAACATTAACCCTAACATTAACTCTCACCGTAGCATTAACCCTCACCGTAACATTAACCCTCACCGTAACATTAACCCTCACCGTAGCATTAACCCTCACCGTAGCATTAACCCTCACCGTAACAATAACCCTCACCATAGCATTAACCCTCACACTAACATTAACCCTCACCCTAACATTAACCCTCACCCTAACATTAACCCTCACCCTAACATTAACTCTCACCCTAACATTAACCCTCACCCTAACATTAACCCTCACCGTAACATTAACCCTCACCGTAACATTAACCCTCACCGTAGAATTAACCTCTACCGTAACATTAACCCTCACCTTAACATTAACCCTAACTGTAACATTAACCTTAACATCAATCCCGAACTGCAACATTCACCCTAACCCTACCGTTAAAAAAAAACAAGAACCCCAACCAACGAACGTTACGCGCTGACCAACACCGCAACCCTTCAACCCGCACCCTTTCGGCCCATGCAGATTCGCCAAATACTACCGGCAGGCGGACGGCGGTGAGCAGCGGAAGCTCTTCAAGGTCTACGGCATCCGCTTTGACGTCCTGGTGTTCGGCAAGGTGAGCGCCACACGGGACATGCGACCTATTTTATTCACGTTTCCCTTTTATCTTAACTTTGCGTGAAGTGGCCTTGAACGTTGTGGTACGAAATGCGCTCTGCTCTTTAAATAAAGATCGTTATTAGTTTGTTATTATTGTTTGGCCAGGTGACATCGTGGTAATTCAGGCACGAGTTCACGAGAATGAGACTCGGCCAGGTGCCAAATCTCAGCCTCACTCACAGACCCTTCTGGGACAGTCAAAAAAAGAAACAGTGACTCACTGCGAGACATCGTTAAGAGTTATCCTAGTGATGAACTCGTGGTTTCTCCCATAGAAATGTGGAATTTACAGCTCTGATTGAGATGGGAGTGCAGCAAAAGCCAGTGTTGCACTGTACTTACTATGCTGCCTGTAAGTATGCTCTAAAACTTAATCAACTCTGCTCTGACCAGCATGGTGAAGTATGGTAAAATAACCCCCCCCCCCCTCAAGACCCACATGGTGTGTGGCGTGGGAATATCCTCATCCAGAAGTGGATTGACCCTGAGCTGCAAACGAACATATACATAATGAACTAACCATGACCCCTGACCCAGGCGGGCAGGTTCAGCATCGTTCCCACGGCCGTGAACGTGGGATCAGGCCTGGCCCTGCTCGGAGCGGTGAGACACATCTCCCCCTTGCTCTCCCTTTCTCTCTCCTCACTCTCACAGCCGCCACACTCTCCCACTTGCTCCCCGTCTCACTCATTCCCCCTCACTCACTCACTCATTCTCTATCGCGTTTTGCAATGGTTCAATCTGTGCATCATCCATTGTCCTAACCGCTCAGTCACAGGTAACAGCGTTCGCTAAATAGCACTCTTCCCCTCGCTCCCCCTCCCGCTCTTCCCATCTCATCTCCCCCCTCACATTTTCCTCTCCCTTCCCTCACTCTGCAGCTCCTTGCCAGCCTCACCCTCTCCGTGTCTCTCTCGCCCTCTCACCCCCATCTATTACGTCCTCCTTATCACACATCCTGACTGTACGTGTGAACAGTGGAACGTGTGTGCTACCCACGTGATCCGTATGTGTGTGACCGCATGGGCTACATGGTATATGTTAAGTTCAAGTTGATTTTGTTTCACCAGGTGTGAGCTCAAGAGGCAAGGACAAAGTCGCACTCACAAGATTGTGTGAATGAGTGGGTGAGAGGAGATGGTGTGTGTGTGAACGAGTGGACGAGTGATCAGTTGATTGAATGAGTGGGTGACTGAGTGTTGATGAGTGGGTAAATGAGTGGGTGAGATGGTGGGTGGGTGGGTGAATGAGTGGGTGATTGAGATGGTGGGTGGGTGAATGAGTGGGTGCTTGAGATGGTACATGAGTGGGTTGGTGGGTGGGTGAGTGAGATGGTGGATGGGCGAATGAGTAATGGTGATTGAGATGGTACATGAGTGGGTGAGTGACTAGGTTGGCGAATGAGTGGTTCAGTGAGACTGTGAGTGAACGGGTAGTGAGTGAGTGAGATGATAAGCGAGCAAGCTAGTTTAAGTTAAAAGTTTTTTTGTTTCACCAGATGAATTCAAGAAACCAGGATGAGTCTCAATTGCCAGTGCTGGGTTGCAGATATTACAAAATAAAAACAAAGTACTGCAATGAAGCACACAGAAATCAGTAGAAACACAACATGAGCAATAAAAAAATATTGGACTGCGTAAAGCAATATTAAGTCTTTTTTACTGTTCGCAGTACCCATAATAGAGGTTTTTGTGTTAGATTTTCACCATCTAACCCAAAAACCTCTTATAGTTAATATCGGTTGCAAATTCCTCTGTGTTAAACTGATCGCAGTACATTTACAATTAAGATACAGAGACGTGGAACAAATATAATACGTAAACAAACAAGGATATATGATGTTAAGTGCAATTGCAAATGAAGTTAAATCTCTACAACATGTATCTATGTGTTTGTTACAGGGCGTCGGGAGTTAAGTGTGGTTAGCGCACTGCGCTACGAACCCCGTGACCCGAATTCGATCCCAGCTCATGGCCAACATTGGTGACGAAAATCTGAACCGATCCTGGGCTTCCCCTAGGTCGACTCAGCCTTAACTTAGTATGTAAACATCGGCACATGGGAAACAAAGGCGGCTGGGCATGGTGCTGGCCACCCACCTCCTCGTGTTGCCACCAGCCTTACTAGGTGCTCGCTAACAGCGCTTGCCCCGGCAGTCAATTAAAATGCTATATGGGGGATCTTTGTCTTTTTTTTCGGATATGGTAACGGTAATAAGTAGGCGACCTCAGTTCGATTCCTGGCCACGGTTAACATCAGTGGTGAGTGATAGCAGAAGCGGTTCTGGGCATCCCCAAGGTCCAATAAGCCTTCAAATGTAAAGGTTGCCACCTGTCCTGCAGGTAGCAGTGATTGATTTGTACCACCGCTGCTGATGGACCTCAGGGCGGACTGAAGAACGGCGTCTGGGTTTGGTCCACGGTGGAAAAAGGGTGGCGACCCCCTACTCATATGACTAGTAATAATGTAAATGTATAAAGCGCCCTTAAACAATCGCTGTCAGGGCGCTATGCATGGCAAGGCGGAAAATAGTTAACGACAACCAGAAGAAGAAGAAGTGAGAAGGACGTTTTAAACATAGATGTTTTTAGTCGAGATTTGAAGATTTGTCGTCTGTCTCGGAAGTCCGGACCTCGAACGGCAACGAGAGTTCCAGAGTTTAGGTGCCGCAATTGCTAAGACGCCGTCACCACCCTCCAAGTGTGAAGCCTGGAGCCCGTGGGGCAGTGAGCAATGCCGAATCAGAAGACCTTAACCATCTTGTCGCGGTGTGCAAAATATCAGCACTGGGGAGACAAAGGTGGTGGGCGGGGCACGGCGCTAACCGCACCACCCGCTGGTGCGCCGGCCTCAACGGCAGCGCTTCGCCCAACGGTCCGCGTGCGCTGTGGAGGGGGGGGGGGGATGATCTTTGTCGTTGTGACTGTGCCACACAGGGGGCGTTTTTCTGTGACCTGGTGCTGCTGTACCTGAGCAAGCGGAGCCCCTTCTATCGGGAAAAGAAATACGAGGAAGCCAGGTGTGTGTGTGTGTGTGGTCTCTGCGTGCAGAGAAATATAAACTAAAACTGTTTATTTTACCAGGGTAAGTGCCCGCTGAGCTGTGTAGCTCTTTTTCAGAAGTGACCTGGCTATCGCAAATTATAGCTCAACAAAGTGGCTTGTCGCGTGCAAATTTATAGTGGCCAAATACTCTCGGCGCACGTTGATTCTAAATGTGGAGGGAAAAACGGGAGAACCCAGAGAAAAATCCACGGGGCCACGGGGAGAGCATGCAATCTCCAAATATATTGGCGTCAAGCTTGGGATCAAACCCACGACCTGCATACCAGGTGAGAAAGGTAACATTCCACCAGTCTCATTTGCAAGAGTGACATGGGGGGGGGGGCATCAGTCTGCTGCCAGTAGTAGGTAAAGATTGCTGCTGCTCCCGTGTGTTTATTGTGTTGAGCGGTGGTGTAGCGGTTAGTGCGCTGCAGTATGTATGTTGAACTTTTTTCGCACCGTATGTACCCAACCACGCTCATCAGAGGTGCTGGAGGACAAGCTGGCGACCCGAGTTCGATTCTCACTCACAACCCATACCAGTGACGACTATCTGAACCGGTCCTGGGCCTCCCCTAGGTCGACCAGCCTCAAATGTGTACCTGGTGCAGTGTGTAGTAAACATCGCCACTGGGGAGACTAAGGCGACCGGACGTGGTGCTGGCCACCCACCCCCTTGTGTGCCGTGCCAGCTTCCATAGGTGCTCGCGAACAGCACTTGCTCCTCCAGTCTGTTAAAGGCTATAAGGGGGAACTTTGTCTAATTCCAATAGAGTACTTTTCAGCGTCATTTTCGAATTTGGAAAACTTCGCACCCTGACGTGGGCGGCACACAATGGCCTAACTCTTGTGAATAACGTCATGGGGATCGTCCACCGAGAGGCAGATGGCGGCGTACTATTATGGCCGACACATACCCCAAGTAATAACCAGGGTGGCCGCTGGATTCAAACCGTGAAATACCACCGTGGCGAGATGTTAACTACCTCGCCTGGTATGCAGGAGGCCGTGGATTCGATCCCGACCTTGACGCCTGCTGTATATTTGTAGTTTGCGTGTCTGTCTCTCTCCCCGTGGTAGCGTGAAATTTTCTCCAGATCCTGCGGTTTTTCCCTTCACATTTAGAATCAACATCACACGTTTAGAGTATTTGGTTGCTATACATTTCCACACGATAAGCCACTTCGTTGAACTATCATTTGTGGCCAGGTCGCTTCTGAAAAAGAGCTGCATAGATAGCTCAGTGGGCCTTACCTGGTAAAAAAAAAATAGTTTAAGATGGTAAATAGAACCTCTGCAACGAGCGGCAAACACGCTACCTCTGGCCCACATCACGAACCGATGTAGCACCGGTGCGGTATGGTCTCATAACCCGCACGGCGCGGGGAAGGCCCTCATCCAACAGTGGATTGACAAAAAGGGCTGCACGTGTCCTCAAGACACATCTCTTGTTTTTCTCCGGTGCACAGGTTTCAGAGAGGAGAGAGCGTGCAGATGGGGATGAAGCGAGACTCTGTCACCATCGCTACCATCATCTGATGGCGGGAGCGCGCGCTCACACACACACGGCTGCCGTTCGCCGCCGAGTGACGGTGCCATCATCCGCGCCACGTGGGCCAGGCTAGGTGCACTTTGAGGCCGTCACGTGAATGCAAAAGTGTGGAAGGCTAGCTGCAGGCAAGAAGGTCGTGGGACAGACCCAGGTGTTGTTGTGAGTTAACCAACATAAACGTCTGGCAGGTGCACCACCCGTGCTCCCCACTGCGCCAACTTGCTGCGATTTAGGCGCCCGGCATTCCACTCGTTATTGTGAGGGTCGCTGCTCTGCCCTCTGTTGTGGGTGGAGGGCAATTGCGTTGCAGCTGCCCAGTAGTGTCCTTCATGAGCCTCCTCCACAGAGGCCGATCTTGACAACGCTGGTACCAGTTATCTACAAATCGAATCAGCTCCACATCCTCCTGTACCGCATCAATCCATCTCTTCTCCAGCTCATGCCACCGCGGTTATTTTGCCCCCTCCATCTGGCCAAACAGCTGCTGCTTGGCCATGTGGTGGCTGGGCATGCGGGCTACATGACCGCGCAAACGCAGCCTCGCCTCTCAGAGGAGCTCACTGATGATGGGGACTGTGACCGGATCTTTCAAAGATCTGAGTTCCTCACACAATTCAGTCTGGTTAATCTAGGATGGATCGTAGGCAGGCCAGCCTAATTGTTTAAAACCAGCGCAAATGCTCCTCTAAAGGGCTCCACGTTTCGCAAGCATAGCGAAGGGAGGGCATAACGCTCATACACACACGCACACATGCATTTATAAAGATACACAAAATATCATACAGAAACAAAGCATTGTACATGTACACACAAATGATTGCCTGTGTAGCCTTATAGACTGTGCAGACAAGTGTTAGTGAGGACCTATTAAGACCAGCGTGACATGCAAGGAGGGTGGTGAGGCCAGCACCATGCTTGGCCGCCTTTGTCTCTCCAGTGTTGTTGTTTACACACCTCACCAGTTAATCACTCGAGGCCAAGCCAATCTAGGAGACCCAGGACCGGTTCAGATAATTGTCATCATTATTGATCATGAGCGGGACTCGAACTCGGGTCGCCGGGTTCGTAGCGCAGCATGTTAACCACTGCACTACCGTTCCCCAAACAAAGATCCCCGTATATCCTTAACAGACTATTGGGGCAAGTGCTGTTAGCGAGTAGCAGCGCCTATGAAGCCCGGCACGGCACACGAGGGGGTGGGCGACCAGCACCACGCCTGGCCGCCTTTGTCAAGACCGGTTCAGATGATCGTCACCGGTGTTGGCCGTGAGCGGGAATCGAACTCGTGCATTGCCGGGTTCAGATTCAACTTGCTACCGCAGATGTCTGCGGCGAGTAATTGAACTCGGGTTTACTGGGTTTGTGGTTCGAGTGCAAAAAGTGCTATGACACAATACACATGGACGACCCCTTTTTAAATTCACCCTCTCATCTCACGCAGTAACTTATAGCGATAATATATACACATACGTGTGCAGCCTTTGAAAACAACTAATCCGTACTCGCAAGCAGGATAAAGATGCATCTGTTTTTGTATGTTCACGAATACATGTGTTTTAGAGTTACCATGACCGTATTCTCAGGAATATTAGACACTCCCACAAATGTAAGCCGCACCCCAAACTTGTCCACTGTCAATAGAGTTCTAAAGATCTGGAAGTACGTACGTTTAAAAACGCGCAACTCTTAAAACCCAGGTTATCACGAGTAGGAACACAGCTACCGGATTATGAGAGGCACCACCAAACTCTTCCTTTAAAAATTCGGGCGAACAAAACGGTGTCTTATTATCCGGAGAATACGGCAAAACTTGAATTCATATCGCGCCTACGTGCCACTGCATCTCAAGGCACGCTGCGCAAGAAACGGAGAACAGGGGCAGGGAGTCGACAGCACGGTCGGCCGGGGGTGGTCGGAGATCATTTCCAAACTGGGGGCGGCAGAGGAGAGAGCGAGTGACGTCTCACCGAGCGATTGGAACGTTGGGAGAATGCGACCCTCTCTAGGACATTGACAAGCAAGGGGATGTGAGATGATAGGGATATTTCAGGGACACTGCGGGTGGGGGGGGTCCAGCGTTTGTTTATTTCAGGACAGGATAAAAAGCTATGCGCGCGTGACATTCCATACAATTAGCTGTCACACGAAGGCCGGAAACGTATAAAGGGTAAGCAGTTAACGGGTTTTTTTAAAATCGTGAAATATCAACATCAATTATCTTTGCGGTGGTGCGAAGGTTTACTCTGTTGGACACTGAAGTTACTTATGCTTCTGTATTATGTTTTTCTCTGGCTTAAGCGGTGGGCTGCCACACCTTGGATTTGAGTAAGCGGGCTCACAGCAAATGCTGTCGACAATTTACTTGTTCACGTTATTGTCGTGTTGCACGTGCGCACAAGAACACGCGTGATTGGCCGAATGAGGTCACACGGCGTTGACAAGGTTGCCCAGGTAACGCAAAGAAAACAACACGGTGGAAAGTTGCTGTGTTTTTATTAATGTGTTGAGGTGTACAGATGTTAAATAATAATAATCAGGTGACTTTACCACGGTACATATATACAGACAGTTGAACCTATTGCCATTCCACTTTGGTTCGGGTTAACCCAAAACCGAAATAAATATTTAAGGTTTCAGTAGGTTCAAGATAGGCTCATAGGTCTGCACAGATATGTTTCATGAACCCATGCACTTGTAGTACTGCAATCTCTTGGCCAACTTGCATCACAGTGGCATCATGGAGATTCAACAAATACTCTTTGGTTCTATTCGGTAAAGTCAGTGGGTTAGCACACGGAGACCGGACTTGCAATCACCGAAGGCTGCTGGTTCAATTCGACCTCCTGGCGGCGGGAGTTGGAACAATGGTGGAGGTTTATTAAATCCCCTACACCACCCAGCAGTGGTGAAAGTGTTCTGTACCACAGTTCGGTGAGTCGAATCGGCAGGTCTGGGTGTGGTGGATGCAGGTGAAAGTGTGGTGGATACTCCTACCTCTGTCAAGCTGTCTGGATACTCCCACCTCTTCCGAGATGTCTGGCACAGTGTGGAAGAGCCGGACAAAATCGCCTCCTCAAGATGGTGTATGAGCTCTGCAGTAGCCACCCGCAGTCCGCTCTCGTTGGAGGCCCTGCCTTCCGCCAGCAGGCACGTGAGCCAGTGATTGCAGGGGTCTGCGCCTTCACAAGGGGGTTCGAGTTCAGAGGAGGGCATTTCAGGAGCTATCCGGGCTCCTGTGGTGACCACTGATTTTTTTCTCCCCTCACGTTGCCTATATTTGCATGCAATTGAAGTATAAGATAATAGGTTTTCCCATTTTTTTCTGGCAACAAAACAGGTGTTAAGATGTTTTAACATTGTTAAGATGCCAGAAAAAAGGGGAAAACCTATTATCATATTTTGGTACTGGCAAAGGAGGTCCCATGATGTAATTGAAGTATAATTTCCCATTGTTTTTAAAGTATTGTAACGTGCCAACTTTAAAATGACATATTTATACGTAATGCGCACTTTGGTTACACAGAAACTCGTACTTGAAGCTGTCTAAA